GGTAATTATATTTGTTCAGTTAATGAAGGAATTTTAGTGCATTGCTAGCGGTGTATGTGGACCACCAAATGCTTGTCCACCACCTGCAGCACCAGTATGTCAACCGGCTTGTACCCCCGGATACCAATGCGGTAACTATGGTTGTGCCAGAAGACGTGCTCGTCTTCACGGCAGTAATACATTTACCAATCGACGAAATCATTTTGAACCAAAGGTTATCTACTGTACAAGAATTGTTGTGTGAAGAAAAAAGAGAATCTTAATCTCGATAAGACAATCTACATTTTAATTTTATATTTGTTAATTGACCTAAAAAAAAAAGAAAAAAGCAAAATTTTTTTTTCAAAATTACTGATAATCTTTTATTTTAGTCACCAAATCAGTTGTTTATGGAATGTTGTGAAGAACGAGGTTTACCAGATGCATGCCTTGCAAAATGCTCATTTAATACCTATACCAAAGAAGCAGTAAGAAAGCAGACTTTTATTTGTTTCAATCAAAATAACCTATAATTTTTATCACAAAAATCTTTTTACAAATTTTAAAGTCTGAAGCAAAAAAAATTATGACAATCATGCATTATTCTTTTAACAACAGTTGTTGTTGCTGCTACTAAAATTTAATATAGAAATTTAGTAATTTTGGAAAAAAAAAAATGAAATAACAAAAACAAACCTTATAGTAAGTCTAAAGAGTTTGCAAAAAAAAAAGTGCTATTATTGATTAACCATGAAAAAAGAGTTGAAATTTACAGTTGACCAATATGTACTTTAAAAATGATGCCTGTCCTATCCAAGCATCAGCTGATATACAGTTCTGTGCTGCCCAAGGTCGAGACCATCGAGCTTGCTGTGTTCGTAATGGTAAGTTTTATCTTAACTGCAACACTTGATGTCGGTTTTTTTTGCCGATATATTATGACAGGTTGTCAAGATGACTTTTTAGTATTCATTATTTTTAAAATTTAAACGTTTTTTCTAATTCTCCTCTTATATTTTTCAACTACACTATTGTTGGTGGTGATTTTAGGTGTTGCAACAACGCTTGCCGGTGAAAAATGTTTAGTATTCTGTGACCAACGACCCGGTAATGTCACTCGACTGGATATGTCCTATTTAAGTTGTTATGATCGTTTTGAAAATATGAAAGGCTGCTTTTGGCATGATATGGTTTCCAGGCTTCAAATGAAGCGGTATTATTGAACAACATCTAAATGATAATTAAATAATTGTAATGCTTCGTTTTCATTTTTTTTTTTTTTTTTTTTTTTTTTTTTTT